TCGAATTATTTTTATTGAATTTAAATTAATTTTATTGAAATGCAAGTATTTTTTACCAAACTAAAACTATTTTTACCGACTAAACTTATTTTTCCTTATTCACTGTTTTTTTTAAAAATAAATTAAGTATATAAAAAATGGATCTTATTTTAATGAATTTTTTAAAACAAATTTTATGATGGAAATAGAACCGAGTAATAGCATATTTATTGAAAGTTATGATTAATTTTGTATACATGAAATATTAAAAGTATATCGATAATAAAACATTATACATTATTTTTATCTTACAAAATCTATCCAAAATTCGCTTACGTAGCATCATATGTGTCACAATAAAATCAAATCTATTTGTCGCCTACGTGGTTCGACACTTGGCGAAAAACTAAAATGCCAAATGTCGTTGTCTCGTGGCCTGGCTGCGAGACCGGCTTTATTTATTAGTGATATATGATATTAGATTAGTTAAAGGTAATGTAAATATGTATTCAATATTAAATGTGTATGGATCAATGGTATGTTTGGTATAACTTGCTCGCTCTTTCGAAACTTGACAACAATCCTATTAATTACACTAACACAATAATATTTTTTTTTTTTGACAATAACACAATAACATTTTTTATAACATCGCGTATATACAAATAATCTATTGAATTAATGAACCGCTAAACGGTAATATTTGAGACTTGCGTAATAAATTTAATCAATACCATTGACTTTTATGCAAAAACTAAAATAACATACAAAGTAATTCCTAAGACACCATGATACATACAAAGATTTCTTCGTTTCTTGATAAAATTTTATTTGAAAGATTTTAAACGGGCCAAAAATCGGGTCGGGTGGGCCCAAGAAAGAACAAAAAATGGGGAAAAATGGGGCAAAAGTGGGGTCATTTGCACGATCCCGCAATCAACGGTCAATTCAGATGGGACGTTGGGTTTGATATGACGTCTCTGCCCTTGTCCCACACGCGGGTCCCACCAACCGTGCGGAGCCCTCTCATTTGTCCACGTGCATTTCTGCCATACATGTCGGTTTTAATATCTCATCTCCCTCGTACTCCTTTGTATGAAAATAGTTGCATCAATTTTAATCGCAAATTATTTAAACCTAACTATGAGTAAAAAATTCAATGATTCAAGGGACTGTAAATTATGCAAGTCCAAATAAGGTTTCTTCAAAAAAAGCATAAAAGTTCAAATAAGGTTTCTTTTTTATGACCTTAGTTCCGCGAAAGTAATAGGTTCATATGAATTTTTAAGTAATAGACTAGATAGATTAAATGTTTAGAAGACATGTTTGTGGTGATGTCATTGTTCTCATTTGATATTCGTGGTGATGTCATTGTTCTCATTTGATAAAGAATACAAATACAAAGTATACCATAGTACATTGTCTATGTACTCATTATAGAGTACATTGTCTTCATCTTAATTGTAAATTTACATATTTAAACTTAATTTATGAGTGTTTATGAATTTCATTATGATTAAAATAAAGCATTTATCTCTGAGTAAAATTGTCGTTATAAAAAGCAATGCTTTCTTTTTATAATCAAGTAAATCTGATCTATTAACCTATACTAAAAGCAAATCCTTCCACGACACTTGTTATTACCTTGCGAAAATTTTTCTGTCTTTTTCGCTTTTTTTTTCGCAAAATTTTTAAGTAAACTATTTATATCTTATGTATTTTCTTTCCAATTTAACAATCAAATTCCATAAATACCCAAATGAAATAATTCTGAATATCTTTTATATACTTTATATTTTGTAATATTATAGCCAAAAAATTTAACAACCATGCATTGCATGGGATTTTAACCTAGTTCAATAATAAATTAAAGTAGAAAAAATCGGGATATATTCAACTGTTTTCTTTTATCTATGAACTTCCAACCTCTTCAAATATATATTAATACTTCGTACTAAATGTTCCTATCAATCTCACCCTTTATTATCCCTTACAAAATAAAACTACTCCCTCCGTTCCTTAATTTTTGCCCCATTATCATTTTTTTGATCAAACTTTAAAAACTTGACTATAAATTACCGTTAATTTATGAAAGATAATATATAATTATGAGTGGCCTTGTTAGATTTGTCTTATTCTACATTTTATTAATATCACATTTTTATAACTTTTACATGTATAGAAATAAAGATATAAATGTTTTAAAACACGTCTTGAATGTGCACAGTCAAATAAAGAGAAAAAAAAAGGGATAGATGGAGTATGCACCACCAAATCCATGGTTTAGATCAATGTTGATACTCCATTATCATTATTATTCAACTCTTTCAAATGAGTGCAAAACCGATGTGTTGGACGACGATTTTCATTGGATATTTAGTTTTAAATGGTTTTTATAATAAAGTATATAGAATAATTATAAAATTGAAGGAGTAAAGAGTAGAGTACGTACAAAATAGGGGGTCTCAATCTCAATAATAAGCAGTCAAATATGTCAAACTCTTCTGGTAAGTGTGGGCCACAAATTACTGTCTGTTTTAGGCAGTCGTCTTGGACTGTTCTTTGTATGGAAATCACAATTATCTCTTTAATTATCATAAATTCTCTACTGCTAAACATTAATCTATTAAAAAAAATACTAGTATCACAGTGGCATAATATATTTGCAGTTAAAATCATTTTAACATCTTAAATAGTTTGGCTATTTAAAATATCTCTAAAGAATGAGAGATTATTATTATATAAACTCGGGTGTATGGTAGATATAGTATGAATATTTTATTCTCATTTTTGATAATTATTTTTATTTAATTAATCATAAAAATGAAGAGTAAAAATAAGATTGAATAATTAGTTGAATACATGGTGCATTCGGAAGTATATAAAAAAGTTCATTAGAGAAAAGGAGAGTTTAGTAGAGAGATTACATAAATAATTTTTAAATATGTATTTAGTTGTGATGATAACTAGAGCCTCAATTTAAGTTGCTGAAATTTTTCTTTATTTTTTTTCTTTAATTTTTTTTTTCTTAAAAAAACAAGATAAATGCTTTGCAAAATGCCCTAATAAATTACAATTTCATGTTATATACGTAGTACTTCTTATATTTCTCTACTTATTATTAAACAAACCCTATATGCAACCAATGTGAAGATTATAATGCATGGTACGTATATGATGTTTCCTTATAACTTGATAAATGGATGTGAAGGTTTTAGATGTATGTTAATTATTTTAAAGTGTTTATGCATATAAGTATATTATGGGTGTAAAAATATCAAGCAGTATTTCATTAATTTCATTTACTATGTATATCATTAATTTCAATTTCATTACAACTATTGCTACTTAACAAATTAATTTTGACATAAATATTAAATAAAAAATCGGCTAAATATAAATCAGTATATTTGTAGTCATTTAAGGATGACTACCATAGTATTTTCAAACAAAAAATGATCAATTTTGTTTGTCGATCACTTGAAAAACTAACATAATACAATATCGTGTCAATTAATTGGTAATGTTAGTTGTTGGCCGGTATAATTATTAATTGGTTGTTTGAGTAGCTTAATTAGTTGTAACTTGTAAGCAACTATATATTGATACATACATAAACTTGGTAAAATCAAATCAATCTTCGGTTATCCCATATACATGCCTAACTATAACAAACAAACAAAGAGCGAGAACAAGCTGCTGTAGTCTTTCCAGATCGGTTGAAAGTTTGAAACACAATTCAACGATCACAAAAGTGAAAAATCTAAAAGCCAAAAGACAACAACAAATCTAACATGCAAAAAGATATTTATAAACTAAGGCCAATGTTAGGATCTTACATAATTATACTGCACTATATACTTCGTACAGTATTTCACTATCAATTTACATAAACTTATTCTTTTTTTTTTCTTTCCTTAATCTCTTTATCAAACCATTTAGGTATAGTAGGAGTTTCTCTTTATCAATTGACATAAAAAGGTATCCAAAATGGAAAAATGAAGTAAGAGTTACCTCAAAAATACAAAGAGCTACTTCACACTTTTTTTTTTTTGTTTTATTTTTAAAGATGAATTATCTTATCTAACCAAAACCATTCACAGGACTATCCAACGGAGTTTGCGGGCTAGACACAGGGAAATGGTATGGAAAATCCTTACCCTCGACGCCCTTAGTGGAGATTGAACCCCATCCTCAAAGAGTCATAATTAAAATGCTCAATTCTTACCACTAGGTCAAACTTTAGTCTTTTACGGAGTATAATATTGCCGTACTTTTTTAGAATGTACGGAGTATTTTATTTTAAATTTTATAAAATTTAATTTATATCTAGAATAATAGGAAGGTAAAAATAAGAGAAAAATGGTAAAAGAGAGGGAAGTACTTAGGTGAGCAAGACAAGTCAAATCATGATCATAAAGGGGTAGTGAGGTCAGTGCCTCCACTGGTTTTTCGGCACTTGCATTTATCAATCATCTACTCTTCTTTCTTTCTTTCTTTCTTTCTTTCTTTCTTTCTTTCTTCTTCCTTCTTTTTTTTTTGTTTTCTGTCTTTTGCATTGCGTGTTCCCCTCTTATTTTACTCTACCAGGGAATTCTATTATATGTGGTCTCTATTTATACAGTACATAATTTAATTACCACTGAATTAGTAACTTAGAATTTTCCACATTTATCAGCTCTGTACGCCATTTTTCTTTTCTTTACAAAATATGGGATACGAGTACAAATAAATGTCTTACTTCACACACCATGCCATTTTTATTTCCAAATCATCCTTTTTTTTCTCAATTGATCATATTTTAATTATTATTTCTAAACTAATTAAGCTATATTTTAAAAAAAGAAATATATTGAAAAACACAATGACATACATATGAATATATGATATGCATCTCATGCACACGTTGTAACTAAGCTAACATCCGTCTCATAAATAAGCGCAAATACTACACACCTCACTTAATTAGGTTTTATTCTCTTCAACTTTTCTTATTATAAAGTATATAAAACCAAGGTCAAATTTCAACCAAATTAGAACAACACAAATTCTAGAAAATTAAGATCAAAACATTTTTTTTCAGGTGAAAATTCAAAGTTTTATATGAAATACATGTTACACTTGTATAATAATAATAATGCATATGGCTAGTCGTGTAGCTCATGTACAAGACACAACCAACAACATATTATACATCAGTTTTATAATTAAGCGCAAATACTACGCACCTTAGGTGACTTGTATAAGTGGTATGTGCAACAACCAACGACACCAATCTCATAACCACATATTTGATGAGTACAACACATATTAGTGAGGTCTATCTTGTTATTAGCCTTATTACTCCTTCATTCACTCAATTGCCCCCATTTTCCACGCATAAAAACTCACACCCCTCCAAAACACTCATTATAAACCCTTCAACCTTAACCCTTTTTTTTTTTTACCACAAATATAAATTAAACCCACCTCAACTCTTCCTCTCTTCTTACTTCATTCCTCCAAAACTCACAAAAAAACAACCAAAATCTTCCTTCTAATTTTCTCTCTTTCTACCAAAAATGGAAACTTCATCAAACATTACAACTCTTCAACATTTCAATAACCCTACTACTACTACTACACTCCTCTCAACCTCCTCCTCCTCATCGATAACCCTCTCTCGATACGAGAACCAAAAGCGGCGAGACTGGACCACCTTCGGACAGTACCTGAAGAACCACCGGCCTCCCCTGGCGCTGAACCGATGTAGCGGGGCCCACGTATTGGAGTTTCTACGGTACTTGGATCAGTTCGGCGAAACTAAGGTGCACAATCATATGTGTCCGTTTTACGGTCACCCTAATCCTCCTGCCCCCTGCCCGTGCCCGTTGCGTCAAGCGTGGGGATCGCTTGACGCTTTGATCGGACGGCTCAGAGCTGCTTACGAGGAAAACGGGGGTAAGCCCGAGATGAACCCGTTTGGGGCCCGCGCTGTACGGCTTTACTTAAGGAAGTTAGGGATTCTCAGTCTAAGGCCAGAGGTATTAGCTATGAAAAGAAGAAGCGTAAGCGGGTCCCACAACTAATTCAAAATACGGAGTAATACAACAGCAAATTAACATATATTTGGTAATAATTTTATGTTGTTTATTGTTATTTTTATTAGCTAGAGTTGTAGTGAACTAGTAGTGGTGTTGCTGTTATAGTTTGTTGTTATAATTTGTTAAATTATACTCTGTCCGTTTCAGAATGATGTTTGCTCCGGTCGCGATCTCAAAGTTACATATTGCAAACAGGGTGATCGATTATGTTAAGAGCAGAAGGCCCGGGAAGTGGTATGGGGTGGATAAGTGACTTATTAGGGTTAGGTTATTATCAATGGACATAAGGAGTTATTTGAATGAACAATCCAATGTTTGATTTATGGCAATTGTAATTGTATCTTCATCTAATATATCTAATTAACTAGTTAGAGATCTTTTTAATAAAATTGAATGGTTGCTTGTTGTTTTAATTAATCAAAATTAAAAATCAATTGGAATAATTAAACTGACATATTTGTGTGATAGAAGAATTTGAAATTCATGGTAAAAAGTGACAAGACAAGTTGGGTAAAATGAGGAAAGTTAAGAAAGAAAAGAATAGATGGATACATCCGTAAGTTTGTCAGTAACAAAGTACTGCTCGTAGAACAACAGCAGCAGAATTGAAGGGTAATCCATTTTTTGGTTTTTCTTTTTATTTTCCCCCTTCATTTCTGCAAGTATGTCTACCTTTGCAATTTTTTTGTCATCATTTCTTTTTGATTTGATGATCTAAATTGTGTTGGCTTGATGGGTAATTTAGGCAATATTGTCTTCGTTTTTGCATTTATTAAGGTTTGGTCTGATCTAATCTGGCTTGAATTAATTTGATTTGATCCGAAGTTAATTGGTGTAATTTTAACCATAAATAAACAAAGAATTGGTCCGTTTGATTGTTGAAGCTGGTGATAACATGTACTATGATATTCATTAGGTCTAATTTCATTTACGAAAAGTTTCACAATATTTCTTTGTTTCAATTCCCAACTTTATAATTTATGAGGCCATTACGAGCACAAATCTTTATCTATTCACATCTTGTTCTAATTGAGCAATTTTAATTTCATCCACCTTTAAGGTCATTTGTAAGGATGAACTAGTGGGGACTTGTTATGAGGTCCGAGTTAGGTTTTTGTTTTTTTAATATATACTTCCTCCGTTCTAGTAATATTGCAACAACTTGACTTTTGTACTATTCATGCTTGTTTGACCACAATTATGATTTATACGTAAAGTAAAATATAGTTATGTGGAGTCTTGTTAGATTTATCTCGTAAACTACTTTCACAACATCAGCCTTTTATAATTTTTACTCTTATATAATAATAGATATTTAATATATAAAATGTGCTTTGGAATGCGTAATTTCATTCTTATTGCAATATTTGTGGAACAGAGGAAGTATCAATTACAAAGTACTCCGTAACACATAGGGAATTGAATTAGGAGATTAATGCATAGCTTGATATGATTATCATTAGGTCTTATTCATCCAATTTTTTTCGAAGTCATTAACTAATTAACCCCTTTAACTGATGATTTGTGATAAAGATTTTGTTGTTTAATTAAGAACAATTTCCTGGAACTTTCAGCTACCTAAAATTATAATTGTATGTAGTAATGTCTAATCACTTTGGAGAATGCGATAATGTGCCCTTTTGTACTGTTATCCAACGAAAGTTAGTGGTTGTTAGCTACTCTCATAACCTTATTACTAATTGGTTAAGTACAACAATTAGATGATTTATTAGCTGATTAAAGAGCAAAGACTGAATATAATCACATAATATTTTTTAGTCAATCTGGCCGACAACACTTTATATCATCCTATATATTTGGATGTGGCACTATATTATTGTTGGGTTTCATGATTATGTTGTGCTTAAAGTGTAAATCCAGTTTAATTATTAATTAATTTCTAATGTAAGTGAAAAAAAAATTAAAAAAAAATAACACTTCGTTTTTTTAGATGAATGTTGATACTCATATTATGCTATTCACACATTCTACTTTTTCTAATTCTGGTGATTTATACTTAAAGAATAGCATAGTTATGTACTTGAAATCTTATTTATACGTGTAACAATGTACATTAATAATTATACATTGACAAAAATGGCAAAATAAATATATATTGAAAGGCCAAGAAACTAACAAGTCGGGACCATGAAGGCAAGTGCCCCTCTATGAGGAGAAAAGCCCTACAAATAAGTGGGGCGTACTCTAATGAAAAGGGACACTTGAGTTTCCTTAAACCCGTCAACCATTAGGAAGGCCCTAAAAAATCCAAGCTTCCAAAGGTTGCTCTCTTAATTTTTTATCTTTACTCAGCTTGTCTGAAATCTTGAGGCCAAGCATATATCAGCTTGAAATAATATGTATGATTGTATGTAATTGATTATGAATACATTTATATGTTTCGTTATCTTTAACTATGATTAATAATGGATAATTACATGGTTTTATATATGTACTCTGTATTATTTTCAATTTCATCCGAATTGTGAATTTGAACGAACATATATATACTTTGCTATTCTAAATTTTGTTAGATTTTTTTTTTTTTTTTTGACATACATATGCTTAATAAACAAAAAGCAAAGTATTACATAATATGTAAAGACTTCGATAAATTTCTTGACGGAGCCATATCAGCGCTCCTTTAATATGTTACAAAGAGAACAAATTAATATGCTACAACTTTCTTGCTTAATCTTGACAGTTTGAAAATTCGATCCTCTAATATGCGTTAAGTATGCAACTTGAAATACGACATTATATATCTTAATCCTTGCATCTCAATTTCTAGTGAATTTGGGGGATGTATGGGAGGACAAAGAGCAAACAATTTTTGACAATCATTTTAACGAGCGCAAAAGGACATCAAGTTATAAATATACGTTTCATAGTATTGCAATATGTAGATTTATTGCGATGTTATGTGAGCTTAATGAAAAATAATTTTGATCAATAAAAACATTTGGACTGGCATACTTTTTTTTTTTTTTTTTTTTTTTTTTTTTTTTTTTTTTAACGTGGCATCCAAAAGCATTAAATATTTAGGAATCATCCTTCAAAAAAAAAAAAAAAAACATAAAAAAAATTTAGGAATCAAATCACTTTTGATTGGTATTTATTCAAACGAAATTCAACTATACAACTAGATTAGCTCAAATAAAGAAAATTATCCTTTCTCATTTATTGTTAAAGGCGTGTAAAAACATGCCAAAAGAATCTCAAAACTTCTAAACTTTGTTTGATGGACGACATTCACAAAAGATTGATAAGTAGTCGTAACAACTCAATAAAATTTCTGATACTTCGTAATATTTTTAGGCATGTTCATATGACATTTCATACATAGGAAATATAGCCAATAATTTCATAAATAACCTATATAAAGATCGAAAATTAGGCACTAAACCTAAGAACAATTTCAATGTTTGATTCGGAGTTTAGGGATAACGAAATTCTTATCTCATTGGCAAAAGGTGAAAGTCTTAATTTATCACTAAACTTATAAACCACCCCATTTGAATATTTGATTCTTATATTATGACACCGATATTATTATTATTAATTTTCTAAATTAGTACAAAGGGTCGGATGATGATAAAAAAAAAATTAAAATATAATTAGGTGCCCTAAAAGAGAGAAGAAAAAGAAAGTGTGTCACCATTAAAAAAAAAAATGGAATATCAATCTTTTAAACTTGTTAATGTCAATATCGTTGATAATGGCAATGATACTTTTATTGAAGAATATCAACGAGCATAGAAAAAATGCAAGTGGATGGATGGTCTTGTCTCTTCGGATAGCAATCAATTTACTTTAATTTGTGAAGGCTAAAGAATCTAATAGAAAGACAATGCAAGGTTTACCAAAAAGTATGGTAAAGCAAGCATTGCTCTAAAGTAGTGTTGTTGCATCCCTTTGTGATTTGTGAATATCAAAAATTTGTGGCCATCACTCATGATTGTTTGGGAGCAACTAACAAAATTGCATGTCAAAAGCCACACAACATATGTGGTAATTTACACATGATACATTTTGACAAGATTTTTTGACTTGGGAATTATGCCTCCTTTTAAAGTAGAGGTTAAATAATCAAAGTCAGGCTAGGCCGGACCTTAAGCAATAAGTGTGTCTTCCTCAGGCTTGGAAATTGGTGCAAGTTGGGAGGGCAAAAGGTTAAATAAGGTTGGCATTGACAATTCGAGCCGATTAAAGCCATGCTAGAGAAATACATTGACTAGCTAATTGAGTGTACCCTATTAAGATCGTCTAGTAGTCAACTACGATACTTTTAAGAGCAACTGCAATGGTTGAACAAATGCACCTGCTTGCAGTCAAATGAAAATATAGAGCCACATGCTTGTTAGTGTGGAAGAAATACTATGTAGCTAGCTCAAACTACACTAAAGTCTAAAGTCAATCTAAAGTCTCAATGGACTCAATTATATGCCATTAATGGTATGACCAACCAGGCCGAGTTATTTTGATACATTGTTCTAATGATAAGTTATTGGTTGATTCTTCTAATAATTAACATCACATACATCATTATTAATGTCGTCGTAGCATGTATGAAAATCGGAGCATCAACAAAATGACCTTGTTTCATATTGGTCCCTCTTTTCACCATTTATTGGCTCTAAGAGATGCAAACAAGAAATGTTATAATGGTGCAATTACGTATGGTCCATGCATATATGTCACTATATATGTAAGCACTTAAAACATCAAGGTGTGTGGAAGGTTAGTAAATTCATAAGGTAGATAGCTTCGGTTATTTGGTTACCTTTGAACTATATTGTACTGAAATTCGTTCGATTGCAACTTGTGGAGTCAGATGAAGCAAACTATCGATTGAGATATCCTCAAATCAGTTTGATCTCTAGCATTCAATTCAGCAACTGTCGTTTTAAGTTTTTGTATGTCTTTCATAAACTACATCGTTATGATATTCCTGAATTATCTTTTAGTAATTTAAATTAAAAGTTATAGATAGCTGGTTATTTGAACGTATATATAAATACTTACCAGAACTTAACATCACTCGAAGTAGTATTTCTAAATTGGTAATCATGCAGATATTTACAATAATTATAAGACGTTCTTTTAGATAATTTTAATACTAATTAAGTTTAGTCGTCATTGCTCATATGGATGCCAATTGGTCATATAATCATGAATACAAATAGCTAATAACATTACTAGTCTATCGGCTAATTCAACAACCAATACAAACAACAACTAACATTACGAGCTAACTAGTATATTAAACAAACCCATAATAGATAACACATAACATAGTATCCGTTACCTTGATTAGATCACACAAGAATCCAATCAGGTAACTATCAATAGTCAATTGCTAAACAAAGTCGTTAGAGTACCCTAGACGCAATAATTGAAAGCAAGGAATGAACAGATCAGAGAAGCAAAGAAAAAAATAGTGTTCCATTCATCAAAGAATAGAGTGTTAGTGATGCAATTGACAAAATAGAGAAAGAAAAAGATAAGAAGGACGAAAGTAGCATAACATTGAGATAGTACATGAGAGTAACCACCAATATAATTGATCAATAAATACCAAAAAAAAACATGTATAGCAAGAGACAATAAGTACCGTTACTGTTAATTTCAAAAAGAAAACTTTTATAGTACTTCAAAAAGGAAACTCAAAAAATTGAAACGTAAATTATTATTGTGAAAATGATCATTGTTTACATACACAACCCCAACTAGCTAAATTGATATAAATAGTGGTCCTATATTTGTCCTTGACCTAATAATAAGCTAACTTATGTATATGAGTATCGAACCATATATTTATTTAATCATTTTTATGTTTTGTCATCTTATTTTGGGAGATAGATCACTACACTCCTATA